AGCCAAGGCAGCCAAGTTAAGAAACAGTATCCAATGGCAGTCATCCAAGTCAGAGGGCTTCCACTCCAGTTGTTGGGGAAGTCACATGAAGATCATGCTGTGCATTGCTACATATGTGAGAGAGTCTAGGACCAGTCCATGCATGTTCTTTGGTTGGTGATTCAATCTCTGTGAGCCCAGATGGACCCAGGATAGCTGACCTTTTAGACCTTCTTGTCATGTCCTTGACCTCTCTGGCTTCCTCATCTTTTCCCTAACTTTTCCATAGGACATCCCCAGCCCTGTTTAATTATTGCCCGTAGGTCTCAGCATCTGTTTCCATCAGTTGCTGGATGAAGCCTCTCAGAGGAGTTATGCTAGGCTCCTGTCTATAAGCATAGTAGATTAAAATTAGTAGTGTCAGGATTTGGTGTTCTGATACAAAATGGGTCTCAATTAGGGCCAGTCTTTGTTTCTTTATTCCCTCAAATTTGCTCCATTTTTCCCTATACATCTTGAAGACAGGACAAATTTTGGGTCAAAGTTTTGTGGATGGGTTGTTCTTCTTGTCCCTCCACTGAATATAGGAGGTGAGGACTTCAGCTCTGAATGCCCCCATGCAGGAGTCTCAGCTAGGGTAGTCTCATAGACCTCCTGGTGCCTCCCCTATAACAGGTTTCTGGCATATCTCAGAGATGCCCCCCTCCAGATTTCTGTTCTCTCACACGGCCCTCTCTCCCCAGCTTCACCTACTCCTACTCCTCACCTCTCTGCTCCTCCCTATCTTCTTTCCTACCCTCTATCCTCCCTTCATCCACCTTCAGTGCCTTTTTTTTTTTCTGAGTGAGAGTCATCCTCCATTTTTCTTTCTTTTTAACTTAGCTTCTTTGAGTCTGTGGATGGTAGTGTGGTTATCCTGTACATTATAGCTAAAATCCACTTTTAACTAAGTACATCAATGCATGTGTTTATGGGTTAGGGTTACCTCACTCAGGGCGGTGTTCTCTAATTCCATCCATTTGCCTGAAGATTCTATGATTTTCTTGGTTTAAATAGCTGAGTAGTATTCCTTTGTATTCCAAAGTATTCCATAACTCTACCTGCCTTCCCTGAGGAGTCCTGACAGGTCCCCTAAAATATCCACGTTGGATCCCCACCCTACCCATGTCTCTTACCTGTGGGTTAAAGTGGGACACAGCCAGCAGAGAGCTGCTGGTTGTATCCTGAGTTCCAGCCTCTGGCCCACAGCTCTACCCACCTTCTTGAGTAGAACTGCTATAAGCCCAAAGAACATCCATTAATATTGACATGTTGAAAAATCATTTTCACTTTGGAAAGAAATTAACTGGATCATGATGTGTTTAAGTCAGTTTAAATGTATTTCCAAATTTGGGTTGTAAATAATTTGTACAGGATAATCAATTGCATTGGATTAGACTGTTTATTTTGTAGTTGTTTTAAAATATTTTTTGATAACTTCTCCTATGAGCATTGAAAGGACATTGTTCCTGCCTTTTCAAATTCTCTTTTGTCCCCCTTCTGCCTTGCAAATTCTTATTTTACTGTGTTTTATAAGCTTTGAAGCTGGGTAGGACAACTGATTTGCTTTCTTCCCTTGGCAGCTTGCATAAATCCTTCCTATACTATGAAAGACAGTCTTCAGGAAGAAGGCTACCAGGTTTAGTCCCAAATGAATTCTTCCAAGTTCTGTATACAAAAGACACAATGTGTTCAAAACTTCAAAAGTCTTGTTTTAACATTTGAATGTCTTTCTTGAAATGTCAGTAGCTCACATTGTTTGGGAAGTCAACTATACTTCTCCTATCAAGAACTTGAGGGAAGCTTTCCCATGACTGACACTGGCATTTTTATTAGATAAATTATGGCTTTTGGTGGGTGTACCTTGACTTCAAGTAGTGTAATTTCATTGAATATATACACGCACACATGTAACTGTACATATGTTATTTGTATTTCGTCTGCAACCTGTGGCAGTTTGAATAACAATTTCCACCACAGGCTGTGAGATTTTTAACATTCAGTTCCCAGTCAGTGGTACTGATTGGAGAGTTCTAGGAGGTGAAGTGGAAGTTACAATTAACTGGAGTTAGTATTTGATTTTGCAAAGGGTTGCATCATTCCAAATTAGATTTCTCTGCTTTCTGCTTGAGTTCATTCTTTGAGTGTGTGTGTCTTTTCTTTATTAATTACAGTTTATTCACTTTGTATCCCTCCTGTGGTTCTCTCCCTTCTACTGTTCCAATCCCTCCATTCTTTCACCCTCTGCATGCATGCTCCTCCTCAAGTCCATTGATAGGGGAGGACTTCTTTTCCTTCCTTCTGATCCTAGTCAATTAGGTCGCATCAGGAGTGGCTGCATTGTCTTCTTCTGTGGCCTGGTAAGGCTGCTTCCCCCTCAGGGGAAGGTAAGTAAGAGCAGGCCAATCAGTTCATGTCAGAGATAGTTCCTGTTCCTATTACAATGGAACTCACTTGGATACTGAACTGCCATGGGCTACATCTGTGCAAGAGTCTTAGGTTATCTCCATGAATAGTCCTTGGTTGGAGTATCAGTCTCAGGAAAGACCCCTGTGCCCAGATTTTTTGGTTCTGTTGTTCTTCTTGTGGAGTTCCTGTCCTCTCCAGATCTTACTGTTTCCCACTTCTTTCTTAAGATTCCCTGCACTCTGGCCAAAGGTTGCCCATAAGTCTCAGCATCTACATTGATAGTCTGCAGGGCAGAGCTTTTCAGAGGTCCTCTGTGTCAGGCTCCTGACTTTTTCCCTCTTTTCTCCTTCTTCTGATGTCCAGCCTCTTTGCCTTTCTGGATAGGAATTGAGCATTTTAGCAAGAGTCCTCCCTCTTGATTAGTTTCTTTAGGTGTACAGATTTTAGTAGGTTCATCCTATATTACATGTCTATATGAGTGAGTATATACCGTGTGTATCTTTCTGCTTCTGGAATAGCTCACTCAGGATGATCTTTTCGAGATCCCACCATTTACCTGCAAATTTCATGATTTCCTTGTTTTTTTTATTGCGGAATAATATTCCATTGTGTAGATATACCACAATTTGTGCTGGGGAGATGGCTCAGTGGTTAAGAGCACTGTCTGCTCTTCCAAAGGACCTGGGTTCAATTCCCAGCACCCACATGGCAACTCACAACTATCTGTAATGTTGAGTTCATTCTTAATGCTTGTAGCCTTTGCTTTGCCCTCATGGACTTTTGTATCTTTAAAAAAACAAAACCTCAACAAACCCTTTTCTATATGTTGCCTTTATTGTGCCATTTTGTCATAAGTTGGAAAAGTAAAGGATACATATCCTTAGAGTTATTAATTTCTCCTTTCCTCCTAGAATTACACTTTCTCTGCCATTCCATATTAGAATATTCCCATTATTCTATTATCCTTTTCATAGCACTTCTATTATCCCTATCCCTGGAGCTCCTTCTCACTTCTTGTCTCTCTCTCCACTTTTCTATTTTGTGTTATATAGCAACACCTAATGACTTGGAATTGGTATCAACATATAAGAGAGAATATGTCAGTGTCTTTCTGGGTCTCGATTATTATCACTCAGTTAAAAAAATTCCAGTTCTGTTTATTTCCATGTAAATTTTGTGATTTCATTTGTCTTTATTGCTGAACAAAATTTCTTTTACCAGCTTTTTATCTATGTTTTGTAAGAGCTTAACTGACTTGAATAAGTCTGAACATCCTGCTCAGACTTATCCTTCTCTCTATATGGAGAAATGGAAAAGGGTTTTCAGGATCAGAGCCTGCACAAGAAACAGCTTGGGAACATTCAGCCATAGATGAGGAGGATCTCAAAAGACAAAGGCCATCTCTAAGGAGGCATTGGCAGCTGATAGCTGCTGGAGCAGGGGAAGTCATTATCTTTTTTTTTTAATTTTTTAATTTTAATTTTTATTAATTATAGTTTACTCACTTTGTATCCCCCCTCTTGCTTACTCCCTCATCCCCTCCCAAACCCTCCCTCTTCTTCCCCCAGGCCTCTCCCTGAGACCACTGATAAAGGATGTCTTCCTCCTCTTCCTTCTGATCCTAGTCTATCAGCTCTCATCAGAAGTGGCTGCATTGTCTTCCTCTGTGGCCTGGTAAGGCAGTTTCCCCCTCAGGGAGAGATGATCCAAGAGCAGGCCAATCAGTTTATGTCAGAGACTGTCCCTGTTTCCATTATTATGGAACCCACTTACACAGATTTAGCCCATAGGAGTCACTATCTTAAGTGACTTAGTCTTTGGTAATTTGCCTTTGTTCCAGGGATCACTTCATATATATGACCATTGTGTCACAAACAACAAAACAAAAAGACATTACAGGAGAGTGACTTATTGGGAAGAGAGTATGTAGTTGATGAGAGATAGAGGGACATAAGAAAGTATGAGATTTGAGCATGATCAAATATATCAGACATTAATATGGAATTATCAAAAAAACAATTAAACAGAAAGAATTACAATACTTAATATTTTATATCAACAAAGCATCAAAGTATAATACATTTCCGTTCATATTTGACCAGACTACCTTGAGGAAGAATGAGTGGCCTATGATGAATTTAGTAGGAATCTTGATATTAAGTAACTTGTTCATTTAAAGAAAGGAAGGTTAGGCCATTAGTTCGAAAGAAATGCATCTTAGTAGTTGTATCTTCTTTCAACAGCTGGTTCAGAGCACTTTCTTTGCTGCCTCTGGAAATTTTAGAGTTTACATGAAGGTAGAGTGCTTAGGTTGTTGTGTTTATTTACAGTCTCCACTCTCTATATTTGTGTGGTTAGCTCAAGAAGTGTAGGACAAAAAAAAATGAGCTCAATAAGAGGTATACCATTAGAGGAAGACATTAGGAGCCTCCTACTTAACCATATATGCAATTCAAGACATTTATCACTAAGATCAAGAATCCATCCCAAGAGTAGAGGACGTGTCCTGTATAATTGTCTTATTGCTGCTTAACTCTGTTCCCTTGAAGCTTATGGGCCATGTGACTGAATTTTCATGTGTTTAGTTGATGATTCTGAGTACAACATTTTCTCAGGGCAGTCAAGATTTTAGAGATGTTTAACTTGTGTTGATTAGCACTGGCCAAATCTTCAAACAACGTTTGATCTTGATCAGAGGAACACAGCATCCTTTCCAAGGTCGCTGAGATATTTCCTCACTGTGGGAGTCAATGTAGTCCAAAACAGTCTTGTGATCAGCAGATATTGAGTGTTCTTTTCAATTCCGTGTCAAAACCTGAGGTAGAAGCAATTGTTTATGACAAGGTTTACAGTAAGAAAGACAAGACATTTCCTTTCTATTTACACAAGATGCAGTAAGATGAGAAGGGGCTGTAAGCCCAAGACTTAACTTAGATGTTACCAAGAGCTCTGACTTCTATGTCATCTGTAGTTAGAGAGGTTTTGGCCAATGCCAGTGCAGGTGTCCTACTCAGTTCTCTACCAGGACTATTTCATAGAGTTTTAGCAAATCTTCCTTCATCACCTAGCTTTCAAATATTGACAGAAAGTATTTTAATCTATTTGGGGAGAGTAAATTGATATAATGAGGTGGCTGTTTTTAATTTTACTCAGATTTGTGTTATGAGTTCATTTGGTGAGCATTTAGCACAGATTCAAGGTTAAGATCTTGTAGAAGTGTGTATATAGAAATCTAGTGCTGGAGGAGCAACCAGTTGTGAATTTTCTGAAAAGGATCTAAGGTTGAATTTACATAGCAGTGTGGTGGCTTAGGGGTAAGCACAATATTCTGAGTAGATGCATACAACCACAGTGCATCTTGTATTTTCTCTGATAGCTCAAGATGAGTTACTCACTTCACCACCGCTAGGAATTGTGGTTTTTAAAATCTGTCTTTTAGACCTCATGACACTGAATGACAATTATCTAATCTATGTCTATAACTAGCTTCTGTTTTATGTTCTCGGGAACAGGGACCAATACTGTGTGCTTGAAAAAATAGACCTAAGAAACATACCAGTGCTTGGTAAAACAAAACAAAACAAAACATGCTAGAGACATTTGCAATACTGAATACTGAATGACTGTTTGTTGTTACACTTATACAATTCCTCCTATACAATTAAACTCAAAGAAAGACAAAGATAATTAACTTTAAAGCTCAAAAATGAGTTGTCTGAAAGAAAAAGTAAAGTAATAGTAATTTTCTACTCATATGATAACTTGTTCTGTACATAAAAATTCTTCTGAAGAAATGTACTTTTGAATTAGTATCAGAGGAGCTTTTCACATGAGGACAAAACTTTTAAAATATATTGAGACTAATATATAAAATACAGTATCTTAAAAGTTCCTAGAAGCAGTGGTCTTTTAGATTAAGAGGACAACCTCTAAGTAGACTGGACTCCTAGTGGAAGGATAAAAACACCAAACTATACACAAAAACTTTGACCCAAAATATAGCCTCCCTACAAGATATGCAGGGATAAAACTAGAGCAGAGACTGAGGGAATGTCAAACTAATGCTGTTCCAAACTAAGACCTACCACTTGGGAGAGAGCCAACCCCTGACCCTGTTAAAGATACTCTGCTATGCTTAGATATGGCAACCTAGCATCGCTGTCCTCAGAGAGGCTCTTCCAAGCAGCAGATAGAAACAAGTGATGAGACTCACAGCCAAACATTGGGTGGAGCGCAAGGAGTCTTCTGGAATGGTGGGAGGAATGATACAAGAACTGACACAAGATGAGCTAAATAGTCTTGGACTGAAGGTGCTGGGATGGGTTGATGGGGGAGCTCCCTTTTTCTGAGGAGTAGGGAAGGGAAGAGAGGGAAAATAAGAAAGGAGGCTGGGACCAAGAGGAGAAGAGGGATGGGTTGGGGCTACAATTATGATAGAAAGTGAATATATATATATGTGTGTGTGTGTGTATATATATATATATATATATATATATATATATATATATATATATATATATATATATGTGTGTGTGTGTGTGTGTGTGTGTGTGTGTGTGTGTGTGTGTGTGTATGTATATGTATATATTGGGGCCCAGATCCACTCAAGCACCACTCCTGGGAATAAGTATGTGATGAATAAATAGGTAATGGTAGAAAACAGTATGGCCAGTGTGCTAAGGAAAAGAGTCAAACTGGAGATGTGAAGATACTGAGAAGTGAGAGAGAGGACTGAGATCCACATGTTATTGTTGTTTGGAAGAGTCATTGAGATAGTGTACAACAGCCTAGGAGCTCATACAGTCATAGACACAGTTCCCAAAAGTTCTACATTTATATAAAATTCCCCTAATTCCGGGGAATGAGAAAATTTTTACTTTCAGGATTCACACACCTTGAGGGACCACTGTGGTCCACATTGCCACTGGAGACCATGCTGATTTCAGTGGTCCAGGCTGCTGCCACAGACCTCTGTGAAGCCTGAGATTCACCTGTTCACCTGCCAGATGCCTCAGGGATGCTTCAAACATTACTGCCTTGGGGAGCTATGCTGATGTTAGTGGCATATTTAATCATGTGAAATCATGTTTTGGCTCATGATCTGTGTAGCACCTAAGTGCCATGAGTGGGTCAGTGGTCCTGATAAGGCCATGGAGCATGCTGTACTATTGCTTGTGTTATTGCCAAAGCCTATATTGCTGTCCAAGGTCCAGGCTGCTGCTTGAAGCCCTGTAAATGTGTGTGGGAGATCTGGCCCCCACTCTGCTCAAGCCACTCAACTGATGGTTTCTGTCTTGGATGTAGGCAGAGAAAGACTGGTCCTTCTTTGGAGATTGGCCACTGGGATTTCACCATGCTGCAATGAATATATGGACAACACAAAATATAAGGTTTTTTTTTCCCTTTGTTGGTAAATGGGGAGGGGTTTCTACATGAGAAGGGAGCCTGACATAAAAGAATAGGATGTGAGTGTGAATAAGAGACGTGATGTAAGATTCCCAAATAATCATCCATCCATCTATCTATCTATCTATCTATCTATCTATCTATCTATCTATCTATCTATCTATCTATCTATCTA